GGAAAATCTATTCCAAATATATGAAGAGGTCTCAAGGCAACAAATAAATTATTCTAAGTCAGCACTCTCTCTAAGTCCAAATGCTACTAGTGCAGACATTGATATGGTTGCAAGTGTGTTGAATATTCCTATTGTGTAGTGTCTTGAAAAATATATAGGCTTGCCAACTATTGCAGGAAAGGGAAGGAAACAACTTTTATTAACACTTAAAAGATAAACTTTGGAAGCGCATAAGTGGGTGGAAGGAAAAGCTCTTATCTAGAGCTAGGAAGGAAATTTTAATTAAAGTCTTGTTTTCAGATTCCGAAGTGGGATCTTTTATGTAAAAGTTTTGGAATTATGGCTCAGTTTTGGTGGGCAATGGCGAAAGACAATAGGGGAATTCATTGGTTGAAGTGGGATCTTTTATGTAAAAGTAAATTTGTTGGAGGTTTGGGGTTTCGTGATCTTGAGGCTTTCAATTAAGTTTTGCTAGTAAAGTGATGTTGGTGTTGTTGGAATTTTTGTAAGTATTTCAAAATACAAAAATATTTTATTAATTATTTTATGTTGAACTTATATTTCCAGATTTTTGAGTGGTTTGATTACTTCTTTAAAACAGCAATTATTTGCTATATTTATAAAATCTATGACCTGATACTTTTATATTAATTGTTAGCTTTGTCGGTTTTGATATCTCCTCTTTGGTTTTAATTGAGTTATTACCGTTACTTAATATTTCAATTTATTTTATCATTTAAATAAGTTAAAAGTATTTGGTTTACAATAGTTGGTGAATGTTTTGATTCCAATCTTTATTGCGTGAGTTAATTGCTTAGTTGGGATCAAATTTTGTTCTTAACGTGCAAGTGTTTTATGTGGTTTAATTGCTTGGTTAAAAAACCCAACGTTCACTTGGAGTTGGTAATCTCCAATATAATAAACCATTCGAGCTATGTGTTAAATATGAGAAGAGAAATTAGATAGACACATTTTTCTTCATTATTTTCTCCTCCACATTCTTGAGTTTGTGTTCCAATTTGTTTTCTTTTATCTTGGGAAAGATTCAAGTTGTTCATCTGACCCAAGTATTGTGAGTGTACGCTTATGAGGGTCATAGGTTGTTGTATCCTGGAGGGTAGGGCGCCATACAACCTTGCTACACCGAGACATTGTCTCCGAGGGGCGAAATCTACTCTTAAGGACAGTGAATTACACGCCTCAACCTAAAACTATTATTCTACTCAAGTATCAGGAAGAACGATCTTCTACATCCCAAAAGATAAGTATCTTGCTGTAATTTCATTAATTTTATTTAATCTACTATATCAATGTAAATTATAATTTTCTAATCTATTTTCCTTGATGTTTTGCAGGAAAAGTAGCATCCATAAACCAAATTCTCCAACAGGTGTATTCTTTGTAATCCTAAGTCTCTTGTGGCAAGAATTTTTAAAGTAAGGTATCATCACTCATCACATTTTTTGGAAGCAGATGTGGGAACAAATCCTTCTCTTATTTGGAGTTCATTGCAATGGGGGAAAGAATTGCTCAACAAGGGACTTCGTTGGAGAGTTCGAAATGGGGTGTCCATCAAAGTTTATAATGATAAATGGATCCCAGCCCTTTCTCTTTTCAAAATCATGTCTCCCCAACAATTGCCAAGGTCAACACTGGTTTGTGATTTGTTCACTTCTTCAAGGCAATGGAATGTGCATTTACTTAAACAGGTTTTTTGGGATCAAGAGGTGGAAGCCATCGTACAAATTCCATTGCTTTCTCTTGCAAATCATGATCGATTAATTTGGCATTATGAAAGAAATGGCAAGTATTCTGTCAAAAGTGGATATAGGCTGGCATGTATGGAGAATGATAAAATGTGTGGAGGGGAGTCAAATGTTGTTGGTTTGAATTCACTATTCTGGAAAAGAAAAAATTTGGGCTCTTAAAATTCCATACAAGAAATTAATTTTTTTTCTATGGAGGTGTGTTTGGAATTTTTTGCCTTGCGATCAGAACCTTTTCAATCGGAAAATATTGTCCATGCCTATTTGTCCGCAATGCCAATGCAAAGCTAAAAGTGTTTTACATGCAGTGTGGTCATGTGAGGCCGCAAAGCAAGTGTGTCGATATTCAGTATGGGGGAATGTATGTGTGCTGTGGAGGGTCAATTCTTTTAGAGATCTATTGCATTCATTATAGTTCTCCTCAAGTAATGAAGAACAAGGAATGTTTGCATATATTTGCTGGGGCATTTGGAACATGAGAAATGCCTTTATTTTTTAAGGGAAATCCGAACCAGCATAAAAGTTACTGCATCGTATGACTGTCTTTGTGAAAGAATTTTCTGAAGCAAATCACTTCTATCACACAATCCAAGATAGCACTTATATCTCTCAAGCCCCTTCTCAAGTTTGGAGGCCTCCACCAATAGGTCTCTATAAAATAAATGTAGATGGAGCACTCAAAAATGGGGATTCAATTCGTGGGGTAGGTGTCGTTGTTAGAAATGAGTGTGGTGACTTTATGAGTGCATGTGTTAAGCCAATCCAAGCAAGTTATGGGGCCAAGCAAACGGAGCTTATGGATGCAATTGAAGGACTGCATTTTGCTCTTGACATGGGATATACTTGTGCCATTCTAGAGATGGATGCAAAAGAATGCATAACCTATTCTTTCGGCGGAGGAATGCAATGGAACACATGGTCTTTTACTTGAAGAAGCAAAATGCCTACTAAGAAAATTTAGAGTAGCTTTATGTCAATGATCCCTAAGGAGCTGTAATAAGGTGGCACACACCTTGGCTCAATTTGCAATCAGCTGTAATGATTTTGTTTCTTGGATTGAGGAAGTACTTACATGGTTGCTCCTATTTCTTTATGCAGATGTACTCTATTCTTAAGTTTTTGAATGAAATCTTGATTCTATTCGTTGATTGTCTCTCAGCGCCCATAAGTGCTTGATCAAATCAACTTGACGTCTTACGTGAACATAAGATTGCATTTCCCTATAATGGCCAATCATACGGTTGTTGTAACGACCGTCCCGAATCAACGGTTCTTGCTCCAGTGGTTGTCCATTTGCTCCCACTTCCTTTCTTCTTCAGCATGTTTGCACATTCTTTCTTCATTTTCTCACTCAGCTCTCTCCAACAACCTCCTCGTGTAAGACATTGAAAGTAGAATGTGTGTTGTAAAATTTGAGAAATGAAAGGATAGAGAGGATATGGATGATTGGTGTGTGTTGAGGATGTGGTTTTATAGAGGGATTTAGAAGATAAAGATGACACGTGGCGCAATTGAAGCAACTGAAAATCTTGTTCGAAATATGAGATGTGAATTTTATAATAAATATGGACACGTGGCAACCGAAAATCTTATTAAAATTAATCTTTTAAGTATAAAAAATAAAATTAATTTTTTGTGAATAGTAATTGCCCTTTGCCATGGCAATAGGTGGAAAACTAATAAAAAAAAATTAGTAACAGTCATTGCCTCCTTTTATTTTTTACCATAACAAATGAGTGAAAATACTCTTAAAGTCTTCAGGTACAGGAGGAGAATTGTCGCTTTATTATTATTATTATTGCTAAACTATCATAATTATTGTTATTGTTATTTATGATTTATAAGCAAATACACAATTCATAAAGTCCTTATCACTTTGAACAAGTGGAGAGTGGACCTTACATACCGGTCTTCTTCTTTTCGTTTGGGTCAACAACCTCACATGAGTCCTAGGGTAGGCCTACATGTAATCAAGATTCCAATTGAATTTGTTTTTCATATTCAAAAGAAATTGTTGGAGTAAACATTGGGTTTTTTTATTTTTTTATTTATTTTGAAGTACAACAAACTTATTAATAATAAAAAATTGCCACAACACAAAATCAATTAATTTACAAGATCAACCACTTCAAGAAACACCCATTTGGCAGAGCCGGCCCTGGCCCAAGGCGACCAGGCCCAAAACTTAGGGGGCACAAAAATATGATTTTTCAGCCTACGTATTTACATTAACAAAAAACAAACCCCACAAACCGTCAATGTCCTAGAAGCAAGTCGTCGTAATCATTAATTATGGCAGCACAAAACTCTTTGAGATTCTCTAGGAAACTAAATATAAATGATATAATATAATATTTCAGAAAACAAAAATTAAACATATGGAAGCAAAGAGTTCTTAACAACAACAAAATCCAAACTAACGTACGTTCCAAACATAGGAAGCTTTAGCAATTTGAAAGTCTTTTCTTTGTGTCATTCTTTTTTATAAATAGATGTATAATAGGATTTTTGTAAGAGACATCTTTGTTAACTTATTTTTCTTTTTTATTTGTTTTAGCAACAAACTCAACAGAGATTCTTGTTCTTTACAATTGGAAATTTGAAGTTTCGAGTTTAAGAAAAAAATGCTCAAAATCCAAATTTTACTATTCTTTGTTCATTAGTTTTATTGTTATTGTTTGTGTTTTTATAAAAATTAAAAAATGTTACATAATAAAATTAATTTATTGATTAAAAAAAGTTTGTAATTTTAGTTTTTAATTTGTCTAAAAGGGCACACTCTAGAAATTTGCATTGGACCTTAGAAAACCCAGGACCGGCTCTGCCATTTGGGCACTTAACTTGGCTAGATCTCGCTGGATTGAATTCCTTATCGCATATCCATCCTTCTAAACAACCAATTAAGGAAGCAAGCAACCAATCACCCATGAATCGAAACGAAAATTCTAATATACATCTGATATTTTGAATTTTGAATTTCGAAAATTCTAAAATTCCAATCACCCATGTATCGGTACAACAAATATTTTGAATTTTTTAATACAAGCGATATTAAAAAAAAATTGAAACTAAGAACTCGAGTTTAGGCTCTGATTGACTGACTTGGAAACCTGTTGAACCCTCTCTGATCCAAAAGAAAACCACACTAACAAGTTAACAACTGCAACAAGACAAGCAAACAAACACTATATAATATATTGGACAATAAATCAACAGAAAAAAAAAAGACCCCAGCCATAAGCCACCACCACCACTACCAGTCAAAACTCAGGGACAGGCAGGTCCTCGTCGGAAGGAGGAGCCAACAACCACTCTCCGCTGATCTCATCAAGCACCATCCCTTTGTTCTTCTCCACCCACCACGACCCCGGCACATAAAACTCCGTCTTCAGAAAATCGCTCGACTTGTTCACCAAAGCCACGCTTCTCTTCACTCTCAGCTCGAACTCGCCTTCTTTCCCGTTCCACCCAGCCACCACATGCAGCATCCCCTGCAAATTGTGCCAGTCGCTCGGATTATTCGACTCCTTCAAGAACTTTGACTTCCTTGTATCAATCACGAACTCTGTTCCAATGTCACGATAACCCAGTAAACGCCCAGGGTAGTGTGGGATTAAATCAATGGTGTTCTTGGTGTGCAGAATCTTCAGATTTGGGTAGCTCTGAATTCGATTTTTCAGTGCCTTGTTTCCGACTTGTGGGCAACCAAATACGAAAGCAGCAACTGGGATGTCATCAGCAACCCCATTTTCCACCAGATCAAAGGCGCTCAAGATTGACAGGCTCGCCCCTAGGCTGTGCCCTGTGATCGTTATGCTCTGCTTCTCGTCCTTGTACTTCTGCCTCAGCTCTTTGATTTTCGTCAGAAGTTGGTCTCTAGCGCTTAATTTCGTAAATAGCGATTTTGGGTCGCTCGACGTGTACATGCTAAGCCAACCCCTCATGACTTTGGGCTCTTTTTCGTCATCTTCACTCTTGCCGTCGTCGCTGCTGCTGCTGCTATTACGACCATGTCCGCCATCTGTTTGGTCATTTGTCAAGCTGGGATTAGATTCATGAGAACGTAACAGAGCCGCAGCAGAATCGAGGTCAGCTCCCAGCACATTAACCCACTCGTAGTTTCTTATGGTGCCGCGCCACGCGACGTAGATTTCGCGCCGTCCGATGGCCTTGCTGACGGCGTCGGTGGTGACGGCGATGTAGCCGATCCAGTTCGACTCGCGGTCCCACGACTCGCGGGACTGGGAGTGGAGGAGCAAGGCTTCGGGGACGCTGACTTGGGCGGTGGCGTAGAGGAAGCAGGAGACTTGGTAGCTGGAAGCTTCTTGGAGCACCACCTTGTCGAAGAAGGAGGCCTTGCCGTAGCGGCTGGAGCCGCAGTACTTGGAGTTCTGGTCGTTGTTGAAGGCGTCGTAAGTGGCCTGGCAGAAGTCGCCGCAGCGGAGGATGAGGGTTCTGAGGTTGAGGTCCAGAGGGTCCAAAAGGCCAGCCCAGTTGTTTGCGCCGAGAAGCTCTGGCCATGCTTCTTGGGTTTCGCTGGCCGCCATGGACAGAGCTGGAGGAGGAGGAGGAGGAGGCAATGGATGGCTTATTGTTGTTGGTGATGTTGTTGTTGTGTGTTTAGCGTTTTGGTTGCCCATTTTTGTTGTTGTATGTCTAGCAGAGGAGGAGATTTGAGCATGGTGGTCGTGGTTGAGTTTGGTTGGTGGCGGCCATGGCCAGAGCCTAGGAGACCGAAGGAGAAAGTAAGTCTCCTCTGTTGGGGATAAGAGATGTCTGGTTTGTAATGATGGTGGGGCTTATATCTTGCCAACTTTTTTGTTGTCAACGTTTGACAGGTGGGGAGGGTAGAAATTAATGAACATGTGCTAAATATTTTATATAGGAAATTAGTTGGCTTTTCGAGTCTTTAGTCTTTTTAAATTACCTTTTTTTTTGGGTCTGAATTTTAAATTACCATTTGAGGCAGGTTCATTTGCCAACAAAAATAATGTAGAAGGAGAAAAGAATAAAAACATGTAAAAAAGAATATTAAAATTCCGCAATTTATAAAAATAAAAAAAAGTAAAAAAAAGAGAGAGAGAGGAAAACAGAGGGGAGAACGTCCAATTACAAAGGGGCAGTGTCCGTTCACACTGTATTGGTTTAGATTAATAAATTAATTATTATTCTTTGTTTTGTTATTATTTATCTTTGGCAAAACAAAAACAAAAAAACCATTTATTGTTATAAAACTAGAGAATATGTAGGGAGAAATAAGAGGAAGAAAGAGACAGTATAATTTGCTCAAATCAACTTGTCTTTCATTCATATTTGGTGCCACTATTTATAGGAGCAGAGATACCTGAATCACCTACCACCCATAATTGGTAGAGTACAAATACATTGGTTGGTAGAGTACAAATACATTGGTTGGTAGAATACAAATACATTGGTAGGTTACATGTATATAATGATGGATATTATTGTGGGCATCCATAACCTATAAACCCATAACGTATGGATTTATAACACTCCCCCTTGGATGTCCACCAGACAATGATATCATGTTGGACGTGCTAAATGTTGCCTCATTAAAAACCTTGTCAGGAAAAACCACATGGGATAAAAACCTGATCGAAGGAAAAAAGAGTACATTGCACATACATCCAATGTAGTAAAACTGAGGAGTTTCCGCGATTGATTTCTCCCCCTGATCTTCAACAATCTGATTGCTTGTAAAGTCGTCGCATTCCTATACCATATACCAACTTCTGAAATATAGACTTCGGAAGAGCTTTGGTGAAGAGGTCTGCCAGGTTATCTTGGGAGCGAATTTGTTTGACTTCAATCTCTTGATTCTTCTGAAGCTCATGTGGGTAGAAGAACTTTGGTGGTATATGTTTGGTTCTGTCACCCTTGATAAACCCTTCTTTAATTTGAGCTATACAAGCAGCATTGTCTTCATACATGATTGTCGGGGCTTTTGTTGTTGAAGAAAGATCACATGTTTTCCGAATATGATGAACTAGGGATCTTAACCAAACACATTCTCTACTGGCCTCATGGAGCGCAAGAATTTCTGCATGATTAGAAGAGGTAGCAACCAAAGTTTGTTTTGTAGATCGCCATGAGATTGCTGTATTTCCACAAGTAAACACATAACCAGTTTGGGAGCGACCCTTATGTGGATCGGAGAGATACCCAGAATCCGCGTATCCAACAAGATTTGAACCGTTGGAAGGTTCGTACGAATAAAACAAGCCCATATCAGTTGTTCCACGAAGGTAGCGCAAGATATGCTTTATACCATTCCAGTGTCTACGTGTTGGAGCCGAGCTATACCTGGCTAATAAATTTACTGAGAATGCAATATCTGGCCTAGTACATTGGGCTAAATATAATAAAGCACCTATTGCACTAAGATATGGAACTTCTGGACCAAGTATCATTTCATCATCCTCTTTAGGACGGAATGGATCTTTATTTGTGTCTAATGAACGAACTACCATTGGAGTACTCAACGGGTGGGCATTATCCATATAAAATCGCTTCAAGATTTTTTCAGTGTAAGCTGATTGATGGACAAGAATACCATTGGGATGATGCTCGATCTGCAAGCCCAGACAATATTTAGTTTTTCCAAGGTCTTTCATCTCAAATTCACCCTTTAAATATTCAGCAGTTTTAATGATCTCTTGAGGATCATAGGTTCGAGATAGCGAATGATAGTTGGTGAATCAAAACCAATGTAAATTCCCAATCGACGTTGAGGACCCATTTTAGTGCGTTGTGGGGGTGCAATTGGCACATAAACTGCACAACCAAATACCCTTAAATGTGATATATTGGGTTGTCTCCCAAAGGCAAGTTGTAAAGGGGAGAATTGGTGGTGGGTAACGGGCCTCAAGCGGACTAAGGATGCTCCATGTAAAATTGCATGTCCCCAAGCAGAAATTGGCAACTTTGTCTTCAATAGCAAAGTGCGAGCAATAAGCTGGAGACGCTTAATAAAAGCTTCAGCTAATCCATTTTGAGTATGGACATGGGGAACTGGGTGCTCAACATCAATCCCAAGTGACATGCAATATGCATCAAAAGTTTGGGAGGTAAACTCACCAGCGTTATCAAGTCGAATTGACTTTATTGGATAATCAGGGAATTGTGCTCGTAATTTAATTATCTGAGCAAGGAGCCTAGAAAAAGCAACATTACGAGTTGACAATAGGCAAACGTGTGACCATCTTGTAGATGCATCGATTAAAACCATAAAATAACGAAATGGTCCACAAGATGGGTGAATTGGCCCACAAATATCCCCTTGAATTCTCTGTAAGAAAGATGGGCATTCAAAGTCAAGTTTTGACGGAGAAGGTCTAATGATCAATTTCCCTTGAGAGCAAGCTTTGCAAGACTGGTCAATGGACAAAGTACTATGGTAAGGCTTTAAAGGATGTCCATTTGAATTTGAAATAATCCTACGCATCATTGTGGATCCAGGATGCCCAAGGCGATCATGCCAAAGCATGAAGGTCGTTGGGTCAATGAAATTCTGATTCATGATAGCATGGACTTCAACTGCTTTGATGGTTGTATAATACAACCCAGAAGAGAAAGCAGGAAGTGTTTCCAATATACGCCTCTGGCTGTTGATATTGGTGGTAATGCAAAGATACTCCACATTATTATCATTTCTAGTTTCAATATGGTACCCGTTCATTCGAATGTCTTTAAAGCTGAGTAAATTTCTTTTCGATCTCAAAGAGTACAAAGCATTATCAATGGAGAATTGAGTCCCATTGGGTAACAAAAATTGAGCTCTTCCAGAGCCGTCAATTAGGTTTGCAGAACCTAGTATGGTAGTTACCTTTGCTTTTGATAAATGTAAATTGTGAAAATATTTTTTATCTCGAAGAATTGTGTGCGTAGTTGCACTATCCGCAAGACAAATATCTTCGTCAATTCTCCCAAGACGAGGGGATCCATGATTGTTTTCCATGCCTTCAAATTTATAAGAAAATATATATGTATTAAAATGTTGTTCGAAGAAAAATAAATAAATAATAAATAAAACAGGAAATAAAAAAATGTTATTCAAATGAAGTCTTTTATTCGATTTTATTCAATGGAAAAGATCCAAACTAACATGTGAAATGGGGAAAAAAAGGAATTAAAATCAGCTCAAACGCGCTCAAACAACATAAAGCGAGGAAAAATAAAAAATAAAAAAAATTCAACAAAATTAATTGGGGAGTATCCCATCACTAATCATAGGATCAAAAGATTTGCCATCAGTATCAACAAAGAAGTCTGAGACATCAAGGGGAGTTGCATCCACTGGTTCTAACTCTGTTGGATCAGCATCCATCCAATATGTCTCAACCTTTTTTCCTTTGCCCTTGATTGAGGCTTGGTAAAGATCAACCAAATATTTTGGTGTGCGGCATACACGTGCCCAATGCCCATTTGTACCACACCTATGACATGCTTCCTCAATCACCCTGTCAGCTGAAGGTTCGGAGCCATTTGTCTTGTCTTGTTTGTTCCACTTCTGGTGGTTATGAGATGCTTGGGTATTTCTTGGACCCAAGCGGTGGCTATTACTATTTTGGACTTGACCATTACGGGTACCCCTACCACGACCACGTCCTCGACGACGGTCGCCATGTGATGAGGTAGCATATGCCTCATGAGATGATGCCAAGGCAGCATTCACTTCATGGAATGGTGCAGATCGAGTTGGACGGGACTGATGGTTCTGCATCAGAAGCTCATTATTCTATTCAGCTAGAAGTAGACAAGATATGAGGTCTGAATACTTCTGGAAACCTCGCTCTCAATATTGTTGTTTCAAAACCACATTGGAGGCATGAAATGTGGTGAAAGTTTTCTCCAATAGGTCTGCATCAGTTATATTTTCTCCACAAAGTCGTAACTTGGAGCTAATTCTGAACAGAGCAGAATTATAGTCACCCACTGATTTGAAATCTTGGAGACGCAAGTGCATCCAATCATGGCGAGCCTTAGGAAGAATAACTGTCCTCTGATGGTCATATCTTTACTTGAGATTTCCCCAAAGGGCTAACGGATCCTTGATAGTAAGGTATTCACACTTCAAGCCTTCATGGATGTGGCGTCTGAGAAAAATCATGGCTTTCGCTTGATCCACAGAGGATGCCTCATTGCCTTCCTTAATGGTTTCCCCTAGGTTCATAGCCTCAAGATGAACCTCAGCATCATTGATCCATGAAAGGTAGTTCTTTCCGGAGATGTCAAGTGCAACAAATTCGAGCTTTGCCAAGTTCGACATTTTCTATATAAAAGAAAATGGAATGTATTAGAGCTCAAGAAAAATTGTTGATATAGTAAACATAAATATAATCACCAAAACTTCTGGTTTGGGATGTTTAGACAATTTAGATTGAGGAACTTCATGCCTTCAATTATTTTGAATCACAGAAACTTAGGTTCTGATTTGATAAAGGAACTTCAGGTCCTTATCCATTATGAGGATCGAGGAACTTCAGGTCCTGATCTCTTGTTAATAAAAAAACTCATCATAATACATTGTGTTTAAATAAGATAAATTAAAAACTTAAAAGGAGAACAGAAAGAAAGAATAATAATAATAATAATAATGATAATTGCATACTACTCGTGTTATTAGCTACAACATGCATGTCAACAAGTTTTCAATGAATAGTGGTCATATAACAATAACAACAACAACAACAAAAACTACATGTTCATGCATTCATTGGGGGATACTCTCGGCAATTTAAATCATGTCAAAAACATGATTTCACAAAAAAAA